CTTAAAATTATATGCACTTGTTAAAATACATAAGCCAAATATTTTGTGTATGTATTGCTATAACCATCCAACTCTGTCAAACGTATTGTAGTTTATAAACAAATTCTCAGAATGTTGAGTGATTCCAGGGTAGGCATTTATTGGTGGTAGTGGAAAGCATGGTAAAGTTTTATAGTGACCAACATACTGCTGTTACATGACTATTTTGAACTATGTTCACAACCAATTGTGTACTGTTTGTGTCAACTACTTTTTTTTTTTTTTTTTTACAAAAGTTGGCATGAGGTCTTTCAAGCAAGATATGACTAACATACAACATGTTAATTTCATCCACAATGTTTAAAAACAATGAAATCTATATTCAAGAAAGAATAAGATAACCAAGAAAATTGTGACACTGTTTTACACAAAAAATAAAATTGAATGATGTGGCCTTTTACCGGTATTCTTTAAACGCAGAATTCCAGCGAAAATAAAGTATCCTCGGGGGCGGACATCCGGGCATTTTCACCGCCTGGCAACCCGCGGCGGTGAAAACAAAGGCCCAAAACTCGCAGAAAACAGTACTTTGGGATGATTGTTGAGACTCCTCTGAACAGTGTAACAAGATTAGCCCTACGTGTGTAACATATATAAATTTGGTTGTTCGGGATTACTTCAAAGTTGAGTTTGTGTTGTTTTCTCGAATTTTCACCGGCTCGACCGGCGTTCCACAGCAGCGCGCACAAAGCCCATAGAAATACATGGTACAGCGGTGCGCGTCTTAGCAACGTGGAACATCTGTGATGTAGCTCTGCCCCCGAGGATTTCACAGAATTATACATTGTATACTGTAAAATACTTTTTATTTTAGCTGGAATTATTTTTTTTGTACGAAATTTATTTTCGCTGATTTTTGATGAGTTGCATGTGAAATATATGAAAATAAGTATATTCACTGGATTTTATTTTTCCAGAAAATAGCGAAAATAAATTCCAATCGAAAATAAAGTATTCTACAGTAACCCATATTTCAGTAATGGGTAATGATGCTATGAACTGTCGATTTGGGAATGTTGGACTTCAGCATCAATATTACTCATGTATGTTAGGGGGTCTAAAAACTAACTCTGCGGTGTGATTTTGCGACTCGCTAAATGTTGATTATTGCACTCTGCAAAAGGGTCTCAGTGGCACTCTGCAAAGAGCACAATTCCCATTGGTTGGTTGGTTGGTTGGTTGGTTGGTTGGTCAAAAAGCGTGAATCCCAATGGTCGATTGATGCCCATATTGCTTCTTATATACAGTGTAAGGGTTCACCACATGCCTATTAGAAATATTAAGTTTTAAATGGTTATTTTGCTGACTGCTCATGAACTACGGTAAACAAGTTTGTACCGACAACATGTCGCACTAAATAGACAGTAAACATCAAGTCAACATGCATTGTTACACTATTTCACTTTTTCTAGCCAGTGGCGTGATATGTCTAATCACCGTAAACCATGTGACATTTGTTTAGTCCCACAATTTTTCTTCCATGTGCTTGCCGATCACCGTACAGCGTGGCATGTCGCCGATACATAAATTTTACACACTTGTTTACCGTACCTTACACTGTAAATAAAGAAGTTATGTGGGCATCGATCGACCTTTGGGATTCACAACCAATTAGAATTGTACTCTTCGCAGAGTGACACTGAACCTTTCACAGAGTGCAATAATCAACATTCGGCGAGTCACACAATAGCGTCGCAGAGTTAGTTTTTAGACCCCCTTACATACCTCTAACATGCCCAGGCCCATTTATTTGTTTATATACAGGTAATGCCATCGAGAGTGCTTGAACAGTGTCAATGTAAAATTGCACCCTCTATCTGTTTATAATGCATAAAATGCATAGAACACTGGGAGTTGTTTTTTTCAGTCCTGTTAGCAGGTTTTCTTCAGTACATGTTTCTTTCTCACTGTTATCATAGCTTACTCTAATATTTCACAGTAACCTACTTCTTGAGTCTCACACTATACACATAACAATAGGGTTTGGTAAATTAAGATAAATAATAGAGATAAATTATCAGAACATTCGATACAATGAAGGTTATTAACATTTGTTGTTATGTAAATAAGTTAAAATGTTATGCTATCCCATTTTTTCCGGGGGGCTGGTCTGCTGATTGAGTATACTATTGAAATCCTGTTAATAACCTCTGAAAACAGGGACTACTAATATGACCCTTGTCCAGCAAGTGCAGGAGTAAAATATATTAAACAATTTAATATTAATCAATCTTAGAGGGAAAATTGATGAGAAATAAAACTCCAAATTATATTTGTTTTAATTAGTTCAAAAAAAAAACAATATAAGATATATATTTGTGTTACGATAACATCCTGAAATTTGAATGTTATTGTTTTATTTTTAATATAATTGTGATAATAATAAAAGAAGGTTATGAGGTTATTATTTATGCATGAAGTCAGTACAGTGGAAGTGTTGACCAACGCATAGCAGAGGTTGCTGTGACAGAATACTGTCTTGAGTGCATACTTTGCAGTATCCTCGTAATAACCTGGGTAATTTACATCTCCCTGATCTAACCACACAATGTCTGAAGTCCAGAACTGAGAAAGATGGATACAGTTTCTCACTATGACCTCAATTTTCAAAAATGTCAGCCATCTTGGAAATATCGCGTAATTGTTTCATTCATGGAAATCTGATTTCAGGTAGGATGCAAATACTCTGTATAGTACTACAAAATTACAACACACTGCAACTTATGGCAATACAGTGAAAGATGTGTAATACATTATATATTAATAAATTAGTAAATTATTTGAATGAAATAAAATCTCTTACAGTGGTATCACATTATAATTAAATATCGCTTCAGTTACTCTGTAATTTGCATTCTGTAACTCTCTTGTAAAAATGAAAATTTGCATAAAGAATTTTTCAATTATTTTTTTCTTTCATGTGTTTATAATTACCTCCCTTTAAAGGTCACCTCTTGTAAAAACTTAATAGAGTAAATAATTTACTTACGTTATGTCACTCGCAATTATTCAATAAATTTTTTTGTTCAAACATCGAACTACATGTACAGTGTCTTAATTGTATTCGTAATAATAATTGGATGTTGTATTATGTGCACATTGACAAACCTTGTCTAGAATCTTTTATTCCGTTTTCATCATCAAATCCTTATCTGATGCTAATCCCCATCGACTCCTTTATATCATGTACCCCCCATTTATCACTTTTCATCATGTTATTGTCTATTGATCCCTGATAGAAATGTAATTAGAATTCGCGGAACAATCTACACTAGGGACATGTTTATCTCCTTATCAAGGTATAAAAAAAATAATAGAAGTTTTGCTGTGACAATAGACAGTTGTAACTGCCTGATTAAACTATGGCTGATCTTTTTTTATCTTCCATGATTTAACTATGCTATTAGATCACTGTACACAAAGGTGGGAGGCCCATAACCTATTCTTTTTAGTATGTTATTTCACTACTTGCCCTATTTTATTGCAGATATATTCATCAGGCAATTAATCCTAACGATCCACCTGCAATAGCTCAACCTCAACCACAGTATCCATACCGGACAGTTGGCTGTGTATTCAATCATCAAGTATTCTATGCCAACAGCCAGGTAATTGTCTAACAAATCATTTGCCTGCTAGTCAGAAAAAAAAAAACCCTGCTGTTTTCTTGATGCATGCTGGTTTTGCAAGCTGAATTCAGTTTATCATCTTTTTTTTTTTTTTTTAAATTGATTGAATTATGTCCTTTTAACTAGTATGTTATTCTAGCTAATTTAACTACCCTGTAATTTTGCTAATTTTAGATGGTGCTAATTAAAGAGAAGAACATTCTTACAATAAGGCACTTTAGATATTGTTAACATTTTTACTTAAATATGCATTGAATTAAATTCACTAAAATGACATGTACAGTATGGTATTTCTTTGTGAAAACTCCATGAATATTTTTAATATGAATGGATGACATTTCCTTGCGGTTATAATTTGGTTTTAGCCATCTATTAACAATTATGTTTTACTTGGCCAAGTAAAATGGATCAATATGCATGTGTAATTACGGTATTATTGAAATTATTATACCAAATAGACACTTTCTGGCACCATGAATGTACAGTTATACTGGTCATGACTTACTTGAGTGGTTGATGAGATATGGTAGTTATAGTGGGAGTATAGATTGACTCGCAGCAGTGGTCAATGAGACCCCGGATGATCTGACTGTCTGTCTATACATCTTTTCCTCCCTATAATACATCATGGGAATGCCGAAATGCAAAAAGTTTAGATCAGAATCAGCGTACTTCTTTGTGTGGCGTCTGGTCAAACCCCTGGGGGCTGCCTTGTTTGTTTTCTATTATTAGAGGACGCTTAAGCGCATAATCTTTCCATATTTGAAATTCGCATTTCATATTATGGTAGGATGAAAATACCCTCCGGCCTGTAAAATGCTGCAAAATTAGGGCACGCTGTAAATTATGGCATTACCGTGACAGATGTATAATAATGTCATATACTACCAACTAAGCTTTTTATCTTAATTTCAAAGTTCTTTCCAACTGTCCCTGCCAGGAATTCTCAGATTCTGATGTTTGGTATTTCAGGAGCCAATTGGGACCTGGTTCTCGTGCAGATCTCTTTTACAAGGAGGCAGGAGTGCACAGGATTCATGCTGGGTCCTTAACTGCATTTTTTTTTTAGCCCCTTTTTGGCAAAGAAGGCTGTCAAAATATCCTGTTAGTCACACTTAACTTCTCGAGGTACTCTGGCGTTACATCTTAGAAATTAAAAATATGAGACCCTTAGAAGGATTTTCTGCAATTTTGGAATGCATTTTAAATTAGAATATTATAGGAGAGACTTTGAAAATTGCTGTGTTTAGTGTCTGGTAACCTTTCGCCAATATAGGGTCCTGCCTGCACAGGTTGACAAGAGTACCACCAGGACAAGGGAATGTTTATCTTTCACTGTTTGAAATAAGCTGTATATTGTGCTTGATATGAATCCTATTACTGTAATTTTTCTATCCTGATTTGTTTTACAGCCTTCAGACAGTGCTGAACTGTGTAGGTTTGATTTCCACAATGAATCTCTTTGGAAAGCTATGAGTGAAGATGCTCTCCATTCTGTATGTGCACCAGGAACTCATGTTAGTATTTATCATTTTGTTATCATAATAACTGTTTATGCTCTAATAGATGTGCACTTATACCAAACATTGCATTTATTGTATGGTAGATAATTAATTAAAGTTGCATTCTGGCTTTGATAGAAGCGCATCTCTAATGGAGGTGTATATCAACAAAAAAATACATTTGTTGTATACTGGATCTATAAAATATGACTTATTTTGACTACATACTACATACCTCTGTCATTTACGTATGTGCTACTAGTCATAGAAGAAAATATGCAAATTTTTATATCTGATTTGGAAGCT